TGGAGTGAGGGGACACCCCCAGAGTGAGAGCAGAAATCAGGGATCCAGTTGGAATCAGAGCTGTAGTGGGGATTTGGGGGTCCCATGGGTGATTGGAGCAGCCAAGGTCCTAGGAGGGTTCAGGGGTCCTGGGGCACCCACAGTCACCCCCTTCCCTTTCCATTGCAGCTGCCAGGAAACCCCAGGGCAGGTGAGTGGGGGGCCCAGCAGGGACACCCATATTCCCCCTCCCCAGACACCACCCAGACCCCCCTTATCCCCACAGGACCCCCCCAGAGGAGGAGGAGGTGCTGGACCACCATGTTGTAGGCAACAAGTGGGCAGGGGGTGACTGCAGGGGGTGGCAGGAACACATCACCCACGGTTGTCACCCCCCACCCTGGTTCCCACAACTGGTGTCTCTCACAGGGTTCCCCACAGGTGTCCCCCAGCCCTCCCTCACCTCGGGATTCACAGGTGACCAAGCAGAGCTTTCAGGACCCTACAAGGGACAGCAGGACCCCCATGACATCCTCGAGAGTGTGCAGTGAAACTGGGGACACTGGCAGGACTGGGGGACATAGATTCTTCTCCGGATCCGTTCTTCCTCTTCACAGCACCGCAGGGGTTCCTCATTCCCAGTACCAGGGGGGCACACAACCCTTTCCACTCTTATTGAACCCAAAATGCAAGTTTTTGATTAAACTGTGTGAGAAACAAGGCTCATTCTTTAAAGGTTGACAATGTTTAATAAGGGATAAAAGGGACAGTAAACATCGTGCTGGGTGCTTGGCAACTACCAGAGGCACACAGTTAACGGTAACAATTCTTCTTTTATACCTTTTTATTGTATTGGTTAAATACATACTCAGGAGCATTATACATATTCAAACATTGTTTCCAGTTTACATGTTCCAGGAATTCTTTTGCTTACTTTGACACTTGATCCATTTTCTTAAAGTACATGCCTTACTGCAGATTAAGTTTATATATTTTATATCCTCACAAGGCCCCCCTGTTTTGAGGTTTGACAGTTCTTGCATTGTTTCTTTCAATGTTTATTTACTTGCTTCTTTTCAATGCTGTATTATCATACAGATAAGATACTCTACCAGTACATTAAATCAACATTAGCTATTTGTCCTGAGTTGGCTATATGATGTTTGTATCTCCACTCGTCTGTTCTGTTTATGGCAGATAATAAGTTTTGCACCTTTAAGATCATTCCAAGAGCAAAGCAGGGAGAGAAGAAGCACAGAGTTTGTTATCAGAAACTGCACTTGCTCCCCTGCATCCTATTCCTGGACTGTATTGAGTGCAGATTTACGGACAATGGGACAGAGCTCTCCTTTGCTTTTAGTTAGTTTTTAGCTAGCTGAGGGAGACACGCTCCCTGGACTGTGGGTTTTCTTTTTCTTTGGACCTGTTTAAACCTGCTCTGGACTAAACACCCAGAAGAGCACCGGGAGCTCACACCTCTGGCCCACAGGGGCAGGCCTGGGCCACAGCATTTTCAGCCCCAGAGGGACTGATAAGAGACTTAATAAGTCAAACTAAAACACCTGAAGGAAACTTTTCTGAGGTTATCATCACTTTTAGAGCAGCAAGAAGTTTTGTTGTTTAATATTGTTCAAATTTTTATACTACTGAATGCTTTGCCAATTAAATAGACAGTTTTTTCTACTTTTCTACAAGGAAATCTTTGTTCCAGAACCAGTTGAGGGAGAGGCTACTTGAATTTGTTTTTCTAGAGGAAACCCCTTTAGAGGTTTATCTCCCAAAATTACCCTAAGCCAGGAAACTATTTCACAAAATTATCAGAGTTATTCTCACCATTGTCATTTAGTTACACAAATAAAGGCATTGGCTACTTCTGCAACAGTTAATGTTATAATACACAGCACATAGTCTCTGTCTTGATATTTTGGGAGAGCCTAAACTATAATATACTTATCATCCTAAAATATATATTCCACATAGGGATTAGGGTAAAAAGGTGTCAAACTGATGTGTATCTAAAGACATTAAGAAGTGATTACAAACTGTATTGTATCAAAATAATTTGCAAGAGCCAAAATTATAGTGAAAGCCAATGACTACATAGTTATTTAAGATGGGGGAAGGTGTATTGAAGGTTTATTTGTCTTCTCTTTATCCTGCTCTGATTTTGTCAGCAATAAATTCATTTAATATCTCTAAGTCCAAGGCTGTTTGCCCATGACAGGATTTGATGAGTGATCTTGTCTCCCAGTCCTTGTCTCAACTCAGGAACCCTTTGTTCAAATTTCTCTCCCCATCCAGGTGCAAAGGGCAGTGAGAGAGCAGCTGCGGTGGGTGTGGGGCACCTGGCCACTGTCCACCCACAGCAAGGCAGGAAGGAGGAGAAGGGTCCAGGTCAGGTTGTTGAGCAGATTGTTGTGACATTTGCAGTAGTTCAGGGGCTCTCTCAGTCCCTTGGGGCCAGGGACAAAATGATCAATTGCTGCATTTCCTCACAGCTGCCCCTGCAGGGAGGAGTTCCCAGCCAGCCCTGCTCTGAAAACCATCAAAGGCTCTCGCAGAGCCACTGCTTGGGCTCTCTTTGGGTTTTGTGATTCTTGCAGGGCTGAGCAAACGACAGGCAGGCCTTCTTCTCCCTCCAACCACCACCCCACCCCCCCCCGCTGAATTCTCACCTCTGCAGCAGCTCTAAAGTTGCCAGAATCAAAGCCAAGGGAGTGGGGTGACCCTCAGGTCCTGGCTGCCACGTGGGGCTGGCTGGAGCAGGGCTGGGCAATGGCCATCCCTGTCTAGTGGGGCTGGGCCATGGCTGGGCCCCACACTTGGAAGGCAACTGGCTTCAAGGAGCATGAGGTTGAGAGCTCCTTCCTCTCCTGGGCTCCATTGCCCAGCTGCTCTTGCCGGCTCAGATCCTGCAGGAGATGAGCACGAATGGAGAATTCTGGACCCCCACCGGAGCTGCCAACCCCCAGGACAGGACCCCCTTGTCCAGCATGTGTCCCCCAGGACAGGATCCTCCCAGGATCCCCCCAGGACCCTCCTGCATGTTCCTCCCCATGACAGAACCCACCCTCCATGTGACACTCACCACAAATGGCCTCTTCCTTCTGCTGCAAGAGAGAGAAAATGAAAGTGTTTGGGGGGGCACAGCTGGACACCCCCATCCCCCAGAGCCTCCCCAGCCCTCCCTGCAGAGCCCTCACCCCTGCTTCCCCCACCCTAGGCTTTCCCCAACCCATTCACTACTCAAGTGCTCCCCAGGATCACTAAGACATGAACTGAGGGCATGTGAATTTGAGGGATAAAAGGAAGGAAATGCAAATGAGGAGCAGAAAATGCCCCTGGGGGTTGGGGGAGCACAGACGCAGAGCACCTCCGAATCCCCATTTTTTGCCCCCCCAAATCAGCCCTAGCCTCTAAGTCACCCCAAAATCTGAGGCCCCCAGGGAAGGAACTGTGACCCACATGCACATCCTGTCACTGCCCAACAGTGGCACCCTCCTTCCCCTGGGAATGAGGGTCCCATTCCTAACACATTCCAAACCATGGGACCTCCATTCCTTCTGTCTCCCCTTCCCTGGGACTCCCATCCCAGTGCTGCATTCCCCAGGGTCTCCATGACCCAGGACCCCATTCCCAAGGAACCCACTCCCATTCATTTCTTTCCCTGAAATTCCCCTTCCCCCAGAACCTGGATTCTCCCTAGATCTCCCATTCCCCCGGCACCCCAGCCCTGGCACACCCATCCCCCCATGAGGGATTTATTACTATTACAATTTATTGTTATTAATAATTTTTTCTTTATACCCTTCTAAATTTTAAAACCTACTTGACCTTTGTCCTAATTTAATCTCAAAAAAAAAAAAATACATTCTAATAAGTACACAACCAACGCTAAGCCCACCACACTAATTATTACATTAACAAATAATCTCAAATTAGTAAACCAAAACTGTGACACCCCAAATCCCTGGAGCCCAGGTTCCCCTGGGACTTCCATCCCTGAGTCCCCCAAGCTCTGGGGACCCCCATTCACATGGCATCCCCATCCCCTGTGACTCCCCCTCCTCAGGACCCCAATTCCCCAGGGACCCCATCCCTGGGAGTCCCCATTCCCCTGGACACCAATCCCTGGCTCTCCAAACCCCCTGAGCCCCTATCTCCTGGGAAGCCCATGTCCCACTGACCTGGGGACAGCCTTGTCCCCACCATGTCCCACCCTACCCACAGCCTGTCCCCAGCTTGTGGCCACCCTGCCCCCACTAGGTGCCACCTGCACTGTGGGGACAAGACGTGACCTCGCTTCCTTTCGCTTTATCCAAAGAGCCGCCAGCCAGGGGAGTGGTGGCCACAGCAGCGAGTGACAGCCAGTGCACATGGCTGGGGACAGCGGGATGGCCGGGAAGGTGGCGCTGCTCCTGTGGGGTGAGTGCCTCGGACACGGGCCTGACACCCCAGGGATGGGGAGGGGGCACAGGGGGGCTGTGGGGTCCCCTGAAGTCCCCAATAACAGCAGAGCTAGTGCATGAGGTGACCAGGGTAATGGGGTGGCTTTGGGGATAGGAGAGGGGGCACAGGGCTTGAGGGACAGGAATGTGGGGAGCGGCATTTTACAGCTGAGGCAGCTGTGGGGACAGGGACACAGGGGTGCAGGGAAGCAGGGACAGGGAGAAGGGGACAAACACCATGCGGATGGGCCATGGGGACAGAGGCCATGGGGCTGGTGGTGGAGACCAGTCCCCATCAAGACTTCTGTGCCACACCAATGTCACCATAGGGACAGTTTGGGGACAGCCCCCACACCTCTTCCCCCATGCTTCTGTCCCCACAGTGCCACCCCCATCCAAGCCCTGTCCCTTCTCCCTTCCAGCCCAGACCCTTGGCTTCACTGGTGAGTCCTCGGCAGATGCCATGTCCCTGCCCTGCTGTCCCCAGCCCCGAGGTGGCCATGGAATGCCACGGTGGCCCCTGTCTCCTGCAGGTGCCCAGACCACCCAGCTCCTGGTGGAGCCCCCCTGGAGGCCGGCAGGGCTGGGGGACCAGGTGACACTGACCTACCAGGGCTCAGGGACTGCTGGTACCACCACCTGGTACAAGGATGGGCAGCGCTGGGGGCAGCAGGGACGTGACCGCATCACTGTCACTGAGAGAGGCAGCTACACGTGTGAGAGACCCAGCAGTGGGCTCAGCCCCACCATGAGAGTCTTAGATGGTGAGGAGAGTTTTGGGTGTCCCCAGCCTGGCACCCGCGGGGACCCCAAGGGCTCTGGGTGGGCTCCACTCCATGGGTCACTTCCTGGTTTGACCAGAGACTGGCCCCTGCACATGAGGACATGCCATAGCATCCTAGTGCCAGGGGACCCTGTTTGTGGAATTGAGGATCCCTGGTTCGCTGGGTGTGACTCAATATGGGGGTCACAGTGGCATTGGGACCCATGGGGTGCCCCCGGTGTGACAGGACCCCCATGTCCTGCAGCCCCATTGGTGCTGCAGGTGCCAGCGCAGGCACTGCTGGAGGGGGACACAGTGACACTGCGCTGCCGGCGCTGGCGAGACAACCCAGTGAGCTCAGTGTCCTTCTACCATGAGGAGAAGAAACTGCGGGAGCTCCGTGATGGGACCGAGCTGTCCCTGTCCTCTCTGCAGCTGCAACACAGCGGCCGCTACCACTGCGGGAGCTTGGTGAAATCCAGGGTATCAAGGGGATGGGAGGAGTCACCGCCAGTGACAGTGACAGTACACGGTGGGCACCCCACAGCCGCCACCCCAACACCCCCACAGTCCCTCCTCAGGGACTCGGGGTCACAAATCCCCCTTTTGCCTCCTTTCCAGAGCTCTTCCCTGTGCCGGTGCTGGAGGGTCCCCCTGAGCCCCCCATGGGGTCCCTCCTGAATCTCAGCTGCCTCAGCACCCCCAGCACCCTGCGGCCCCGAGCCCCACTCCTGCACGTGTTCTACCGGGATGGGCAGGTGGTGGGGGGCCCGCAGGGATCCCCGCAGCTGCTGGTGCCCGCTGTGGGGGTCTCCCACTCGGGGCATTACAGCTGCCAGGTGCACTCTGAGGGGGGAGCCGTGAAGAAGAGCAGTGCATGGCTCCGCGTCACAGTGCGCAGTGAGTGCGGGGATTGGCATGGGGAAACCTCACAGCCTCCCTGGGTCCTCTGCCTTGGTATCTCCATTATTACCCGGGTCCCCCCATCTCTCACAGTGTCCCTTCACCCGTCTCTGAGTCAACCCCACCCCTCTCTGCAGTTCCCCCATGGTCTCCAAGTCCTGCCATCCCCTCCCTGGGTCCCCATATCCTCACTCTGGTCCCACCATCTCCCTTTCCAGGTGTCCCTCCCAAACCCCCCCATTCTTCCTTGGGGTTCCTCTCCAAGCCCCTCCCCCCACCCCCAGCTCTGCACCTCCACTCCCTCATTGGGCTCTCCCTGACCCTCTCTGACCCCCCACCAAGACCCACACTGTCCCCTGGTGCCCCCTCTCCTGGATGCTGTCCCAGCCTCGTGGGTGTCCATGTTGGCACAGCCCACTGGAGGACCGGTGGCACTGGGGCACCATCTGGTGCTGAGCTGTACAGTGGCCACAGGGATATGTCCCCTGTCCTTCTCCTGGCACTGGGGGTCTCAGGGTCACCGCTGGGCACCAGCCTTGCCTGATACTGTGCCAGGTTAGGGACAAGGGCAGTGGCTGCTAACAGTGCATGGACAGCATGGCTGAGAGTGTCCCCCTGAATGTCACTGTCCTGGGTGAGAGGAACACTTGGGCTGAGGGCGACCCCCCACTCACAGCACCCCCATCTCACGTCGCCATGTGCCAGCCCTGTCTGTGTCCCCACAGTGCCCGTGGCCAATGCCACCATCACCCTCAGTCCCCTGTCACACCAGCTGCGTGCAGGTGACCCCGTGACCCTGCGCTGCTCGGTGCAGGTGGGCTCAGCCCCTGTCACCTTCACCTGGCTGCACAATGGGCAGGAGGTAGCCCAGGGTCCCATCCTGGAGCTCCGGGCCGTCAATGTGGGACATTCAGGCACCTACCGGTGTGTGGCCACCAACCAGCTGGACGGGCACCAGGCATTCAGCCCAGAGCTGGATCTGGCGGTGACAACACAGGAACAGCGCACAGGTGGAGTCATGTGGGGTCACCTGAGGTCACATGTTGGGTGCAGGAACCCCGGACTTCAGAGAGACCTCAATGTGTCCCTCTCTGTCATCAGCAGTGGCTGCAGGGCTCAGTGGGTCCCTCCTGTTCCTTGTTCTGCTTCTGGCTATCATCGGGGGCTGCCACCGGTGGCACCACCTTGGTGGGTGACAGTGAGGGAAATGGGGGTCTCAGGGATTAGGGTGAAAACCCCCCCAGAGTATGGGGTCCATAGGGCAGCACGAACAGCTCCTGACTTCGGTGAAGCTGAATCCCCAGAGACCTCAGCTGGGGATTGTGGGGAATTTGTGGAAGTCCTGCAGGGTTGTGCAGGAAAACTAGAGGTTGTCAGGGATTTGGGGGAGTTTGGGGGCTCAGGGGGTAGTTCAAGGCTTATTGGAGGCTTCAGGGATGCACGAGGCTCCCAAGGGCAGTCAGAACTCCCAAGGGTGTTCAGGGGCCCTGAGGACTCCACAGTCGCCCCTCCCCTCTTTTCTTTGCAGCCCTCAGGAAACAGCAGGAAAGGTGAGTGGGGGGATCCAGGTCTGATCCCCTATTTTATGCTTGCTATGACCTCTGCCACCCCCACAGACACCCTTTTATCCTCACAGAGCCCTCTCAGAGCCCTTGACCCTTCCAGAGGCAGGGGAGGTGCTGTATAGCCAGGTTGTGAGAACCAAGAAGGGAGAGGGTGAGTATGGGGGGGGGAACAGGGACATGTCACCCATGGGTGTCACCTCCCACCCAGTTGTAGATTGTTGTTTAGATGTCCTCTGTTCTCCCCACAGTCCCCTTCCCCTGCCTCTGTATTATCGCCACCAGAAAGGCTGAGTTATTTAGGACAGGTAAAAGGAAGGCGTGTACATGTGCCACTCCTATGGGGCAGATGAGAATGGAAAAGCTTGTTGCTACTGGGAGGCACAGCATGACAACACCTGACCCTCCAATCAAGTTGCAAGTAAGAAATCTCCACCAATAAACAGCAAAGAAGAGTTGACTGACAGACTTTGGGAGGGGCCGGGATTGGCTGATGCAACCCCCCAGAAGTGTAAAACCCAAAGCACCCATCTCAAAGATGAGCCATGTGGTAAGCAGCCATGAGGGTGGCTCCCAGGCCTGTTTTTCCTTATTTAATCCTTTTGTTGGATTTTTGTTCAGATTTAATAAAACTGTTAAAATTGTGAGAAGTAATTTTAAATAATTTTTTTAAAAAATTAAAAATGTGGTTACATAAAAGAACACTGACAGAGTTAGAATATGACCTGATGCCCTGTGGGTCTGGGTGTTGGCAGCAGTCCCTTTAAATGGTGGCTGCAGTCTTCTTGCAGTGACAGCTGTAGTTCTATTGGAGCAGTGAACCTGTAAAAGGGTGGAGTTCTCCTCTGAAGGTCCAGTGGTGGTATAGATGGACCTGGTCTTCCTCTGGGAATCCAGTGGAAAAGAAAGCTGCTCCTCAAAGAATCCAATGTGAAAATGCTGGCTTTACAAATGTGTTACAAATGTCAGATTATATCCAGGTAGGAATGCTTGGCTCCTCCCCCTGGGTGAAGTATCTCACAATGGGATGATGGAATTTTATCAGTCATGCAGTGACACTCAATGGCCCATTAACAGAAGATATTTTCTGGAGGGAGGATTGGCTGTGGAAGAGATAAAGAAAGTGCCCAATTAACAGAAGATAACTGCCCCAACTTTAACAGATGGGACTAGAATACACACCCCCAGCCACATCTTGTAACCTAAGACAGGAGCCATGGGTGCACTGGGAGTGCTGAGAGGGGGATTGCAGAGCCACTGGGAATATGGGGTACTGCAGATAGAATGGGAAACACCTGGATATATGGGAGCAATGGAGAGGAACTGGGAGGGGAAATAGGAAGCCACTGGTGATACTGGGAGCACTATGGGGAAGGAATGGGGAAGTCTGTGAGAGTACTGGGAGCACTAGGATGAAGAATGGGGAGGTAATTGTGGTAGTGGAAGGGGGGTGAGGAAGCCCTTGGGGGTTTTGAGACATGGGGAGCTCTGGGTGCCCTGTGCAGCCTCACACATGACCCCCACTTGTGCCCACCTACCTGTGAATGTCAGGCACCCATGGGAGCAATAGGGGGACACACACATGTGGTTGCCTATGGCTGGGGTCCCCCACTGCCCCCCAGTTCCTCTAGAGCCCACCAGTGCCCATCCATGCTCCAAGTGTCACAGCACATTCCCATAGATGTCACCAGGTTTCCACAGTTGCCTGTGGTGTCCCTGCAGTTCCATATAGGTCACCTGGGGATCCTGGAGTGTGGTGGCACAGGGGTATGCTGCAAGAGACACGGGCTGTGGGATCTGAATGGGAGTGACACTCGTGGGTGACATGTCCCTCTGCGTGTGTCCCACCCCGTACTCACCCCCCATCTTGGTGATCACGTGGGTGTACAGCCCCTCCCCCTCCTCTGGGGGAGCGGGGGGTGGGCCCTGAGGGAATAAAGGGGATGTGTGGGAGGGAATGGGAGGTCTTGGGGGTTGAGGTAAAAGGGGAGAGTGTGGTTTGGCCCCCCACTCACCTTTTCTGCTGTTTCCTCACAGCTACAATGGAAAGAGGGGAGTGATAGCAGTGGGGTCCCTAGTGCCCTGACCCCTCTCAGAATTCCTGAGTTCCCCCTGTGACCCTCAATTTCTCCCAGAAACCCCAAGTATCCCTGATGCCCCCCGAGAACCCTTGAATCACCCCAATGCTCTTGACACCCTAAGCCCCAAGAAGCCCAAGACTGGCAGGGAGTGGGACTCTCCAAATTCCCCCAGAATCATTGAAAGGACCCCCAACATCCCTGCAAGACCCCCCAACACCACCCCAAATACTTGAGGACCCTGAGCAAATGTCCTGAGCGCACAGCGCTGCCAAAGTCAGGGGCTGTGGGTGCCCACCCCATCACCCTGCATTCTACGTGGCCTCCCACCTCCCCAGCACCACCATTGTGCCTCTTGTCACCCACCCATGATGTTCCACCAGTGCCAGCCCACAGCTACACCCATGAGCAGGACCAAGAAGAGGAGGGACCTGCAACAACTCCTATGGCCAATGACCCTGTGTGACCTCACCAGTGTCCCTGAGGTGTCATCTCCAGTGACAGGTCAGGGCTGAGTGCCTAGAACATGTGGTGCCCATCCAGCTGGTTGGTGGCCACGGACTGGTAGGTGCCCGAATGTCCCACACTGATGTCCCCAACTTCCAGGAGGGGACCCTGGGCCAGCTCCTACCTATCATGCAGCCAGGTGAAGGTGACAGGGGCTGAGCCCACCTGCACGGAGCAGCATAGGGTCACAGGGCCACCTGTGTGGACCTGGTGTAACAAGGTGTTCTGGTTTGAAAGCAAAACCAGTGAGAGACTCCAAGTCAGAAATACAATTTATTTGGAAAAGGGACACCCCCCCTCCAAAATATATGCAATAATGCAAAAGAAAAACTACCTACAGAGTCTGAATACAACCTGACACCCTGTTGGTCACAGTGTTGGTTACAGTCCAGTTGGATTGGTGGCTGCAGTCCTCCTGGAGTGACAGATGTGGTTCTGTTGGAGCAGTGATCCTGTAGACAGGTGTAGTGTTCCTCTGAAGATCCAGTGGAAAAGGTGGCTGTTCCTCTGGGAATCCAGTGGAAAGTTCTGTACCAAAACCCAGATTATATCCAGGTGGGGATGCTTAGCTCCTCCCCCCTGGGCAGAGCATCTCACAATGGGCTGTTATCATTCTACTAGTCATGTGGTGGGTCCATTAACTAGAAATGGCTCCTGGAAAGAGTTATCTCTGAGTCATGGGACAAGGCATTGATGGGCCCATTAACAGGAGATAAGGAAAAACAATGCCCCTCTTGGTTTCAGCAGCTCTTGAGGAGGGGAATAGAATACATTTTTATATTGTAACTGAGGACACAGAGGACCAGGGCTGATGGTGGCATTTGGAACGGGCACTGCAGGGGGAGAGATGGGGCTGAGGCTGGAGGGAGGGGCTGGCACCCAGTCATGGGTAGTGGTATGGGGAGAGGATGGGGAAGATACGGGAGGCTGTGGGTGAAGGACACCGAGAACAAGAGTGTCCTGCTCCTACAGAACTGTGTCCTGTGGTGGCCATTACTTAAAGTGGGATGCCATGGGTGGGGTGAGGGTGGGATGGCTGCTGTGCAGGATGCTGTGGGTCCTGCACACCCAGGACAGTGACATTCAGGGGAACAACCTTGGCCACACTGTCCCCATCACTGGCCTGGCAATGATAGCGGCCGCTGTCATTGTCCCCAACGTGGTGCAGCTGCAGACAGGGGCTAGTGCCTAGTGGTGCGCCCAAGCCCCCCGGTGCCAGGAGAAGGACAGGGGATCTGTCCCTGTGGCCACTGCACAGCTCAGCACCAAACGGTCATCCAGTGCCACTTGTGCCCCAGGGGGCTGCGAGCACAGGGACACACCTGAGAGGAGGACCCCTGCAAGAATGGGGAGACAAAATGATTTGGGGATACAGGGAGGTGTGTGAGGAACACCCCATGTGTGGAGATGCGAATCTGGACACCATGTTTCAGCAGCAGAGAGCCCCTAAGACCCTGCAGAGGCCCTGGTCCTGGTGGACGGATCAGGGAACCCAGACCTGGCTCACAGAACGGTGGCCCAGGTCCAGGAAGGGAGATCAAAGCTCCCAAACCAGACAGTGGGTGGGGTGGTGGCGCTGGCCCCCAGGGAAACAAGCTGAACTGCTCAGACCTGGCCCTTGAGACGGGCTCTGTGTTCTCACAACCTGGCAGGACCATGCTGCCAATGTCTTGAGAGCAGAAGTGACCAAACACTTCCTCCCCCAAGAAGCACAGGTGCACACCAGCAGCTGGGGAAGGGAAGCCTTCCCAAGAAGTGTCATCTCGGATCTGGGGGGTTTGTGTCCTCAGAGCATGTGAGCAATGCTCACTCTGCACTGTTTCTCTTGCTCCTGCAATGCAAACAGTAGTGTCCCTGCTTTCTGCTTCTCAGCACCACTCCGGCCCGCTTCAGGCCTGGGACCAGAGGCAGAAGCTTCAGGAACCCCCTTCCCCATGCTGCTGGGGCATGCGGGAGAAGGCAGGCACCCCAACCCCCAGGAGAAACCCCTGACCACATGCAAAATGACCCACAAAAAATGCTTTGTCCCACAAAAATGCTAAGTTTAAAAGTGTTTACTCTTGCGGTACCAGCTGTCAACAGCTGAGCCATGCCACTTCTGCTGCAGGACAGGCTGATTGCAGAGTCTGATGCAGACACAGATATGGAGGACGGGGCTCTGGAGGGCAGCAGGACAGCCGGGGGGGCTGGTGGGGGCAGCGTGGGTGCTGGGACCAGCTCTTGAGGCAGTCCCACAGGCTCAGCGCCATTCTCAGCTTCGTCTTTCACTTGAATCAGGTCGATGGGAGGTGGCGAGATTGGCACGGGGTTGGCCCCTGCCGGCACTGCCTGCACCATTGTGGATTCAATTGCCAGCTGCGATGCAGAGGGACCAGGCTGAAATAAATGGGCAGGAGATCTTTCTCCTTTTTAATGCCTTTATTAAAAAGAATCAGCTCAGGTGGGGAGAAATTGATGGGTCACGCCCACGCTGCCCCTCCTCCCAGGAGTGGCCTGGAGGAGGAGGGTG